CGGTTCGACTCCCACATGGGATGGTGAGCTATGCCCACCCGCAACTAAGATTGAACACGGCACCTTGAGCTGAGCTGCCGATGGGCGGCCAGATGGCAACTGGACTTGGAGCTGAGCTAGCTGCAACCTCCACAACTAAGATTGAAAGACAAAACTTGGCTATTCCCCTTCCCCAATTCCCTAACACTGTTCCCCTTCCCCAATTCCCCAATAAAGTCTTAAAAAATAATAATAATAATCTTATCCCTAATAATTTAGTATAATATAATGTACACAAGTTATTTTATCTTTCTTCTATAGTCTTCTTTGTAGAATGGCAAAGACTGAAATTGTTAGAAATATAAACTGGTCTTTCTCTTCTCCAAGGTTCTTTTAGAGCAAGATATATTTCATCGTTCCTTGATGGCCTGTTGTTTGGAAATTGTGCTTTTTGCCTATAGCTCACCTCGGACTTTTCCCTGGATTCTTGAAGTTCTCAATTTGCGACCATTTTATTTTTATAAGGTGAGACGAAAGCAAAGTTCTTTTATGGTGTACCTCACATAAGCATCCTATTTATCTTAGCTGAAGGAACAAGCTGTAGTGACATTTGGAAAATATTTCCAGAAGTATTGTGAAAACATATTTCTTTTGGGTGAAATCAAGGACAAAAGCGAAACGATGAGGGTAAAGTAAACAAATCTCACAGCTTCAGTTCTTTTTCCATTACTGACTTGCAAATGTGATGAAAAACTAATTAACTTTGAATTCCTCATATTTATGAATGGAAATCATAATCCTGTTAAGCAGATGCATGATAAAGAACAATTTTCTTTTCAGGAGAAAGAAAAGGACTGAAATTGATTGGGTGATCCTCTAGATAATGAAGCTGTAATAGCAGATTGTTCTCCTTCCCCAAATTTGAGTTCAGAATCTTATTTAATTACCCTGTTTTTCTGCTGAAACTATTTTTATTAACCTTTTTTCATAGGTCACAGCATAGAGATCACAGCTGCAATAACTTTTTTTTAAAGATTTTTTATTGGGGAACTGGGG